ACCCAGGTTCTATCCCAGCGGGAAGATCCCCTGGAGAAGGAAATGGCAAGCCACTCCAGCGTTCCGGCCTGGAGAATCCCACGAAGAGTCGGACACGACTGAGTGACTAAACCACCACCACCTGGCCACAGACATCACACAGCCCGACAAGTTTCCTACCAAGAAATATCTCGCCTTCTTGGCCCTGCCTGTGACCTCTGGCACGGTCTCCCCCAGTGGAAAGCAAGACGTGTGTATGAGACGGCTGTGAAGGCCCGTTTGTATCTGGGGGTCAGTCCTCTGCTTTGGTACCAGGCTATCTGAAAAGAAGTTGAACCCCACGCGGCAGTTTCCAGGCTCCGGTCTCCCTCCGCGGGGCGCCTGTGCCCAGCCTCGGGCCTGTGCGCCCCCTTTTGTTCACTCGGCACAGGCTCCTGTCTGCACCCCCCTGAAGGTCCTGCCTGGGTCAGAGACCGAGCTCTGACGGACAAGCCCAACGAGAGGCCTCGTGTCCCCGGTCTCTCCTTTCCCCCAGGCGCCTGGCGGCTGTGGCTCTGCGGGAGCTTCTTGCTGGCGGGCTGACGTGTGTCACCTGCTCACCCAGACGGCTCTCCTTTCCGAGTTCCAGGGCTGCCACGAGCTGCCGCCCCGCTGGGTGTCAGTCGGACAGACGAGGATGCGCCCCAGCGGAGCGGGGCGGAACAGCCGCCCGCCAGCCTGGCGCAGGCGCTCCCCGCAGGGCTAAGGGCCTTCCCTCCCTGGGCCGGGCACCGGTGCTCCCTACTGCGGCAGGGCACGGGCCTCGGCTACTGATAGAGGCCATCTCTCGGAGGACAAGCCACTTACAGCCCCCGCGGTCCTAGCTGGAGAAGGTTAGCCGGTGTCCAGCAGATCGAAGTCCCAAAACGGAACACGTGCTCACTGTCCCCAGCCTGCCCGCCTGGGAGAAGAGCGCCTGTGGCCACTGCGCGTCTTGGAGATCTCACGTGGTGCCGCAGTCTGTGCTCAGAGCACGGGCCTCCGCTCACTGGACTAACCCGCTTCTCCCAGAAGCGGAAGCGCTCCTGCTTCTCTTATTCTCATTCTCCGTCTGTCTTCCGAGGCTTAAGAGAAAGGGGGAGGGAGCTGGGGGCTGGAGGGGAGCTGAGATCCACGTGGAGGCTCCCTGATAATGGAAAGAAGTGAACCGTATAGCCTTTGGGGAAGGACCCATGCCAGGCTCTGTCACACGAGATGCCGGCATGTCCTTACAGGCATTCCTCATGACGGGCAGCGACTGAGTCTGAATGAGCGAGATGTGCTCACTGTCAGCACTGGGCAAAGAAAACGCATCTGACCATCACAGCTAGGAGCAGAGGCGCCCAGAATCACCTAAATTACAGGATGGGCATCCTGCCCAGTAGAAATCTAAGCAAGGGAACTTCCATCAGTTCCAATCAATAAATGAGCATCAGCTATGCACCACGGTATTCCCTGGTGGCTCAGATGGTAAAGAATCTGCCTGCAATGCAGGAGATGTGGGTTCCGTCCCCAGTTGGGGAAGATTCCCTGGAGAAGGGAATGACTATTCACTCCAGCGTTCTTGCCTGGAGAATCCCATGGACAGAGGAGCCTGATGGGTGGTCTGTGCCACCAGGATGGTCCATGGGTCACAAAGAGCTGGACATGACTGAGCAAGTAACACTTACATGCTCAACAGCACTACGCACCAGACACCTAGGTTCTGAGGATGGCACTCAAGCAAAACATCTCTTCCTCGAGTGGAATTCACAGACTGGCGGGAGGGTCTGATAACAGTACAGCTGGTTCCAACATGAAGTTCAGGTGATTCTAACCTCCTGTGCTGTGATACTGTCAAATGTGCTGGACTCTGAATGGGTGAGTGCCGGGGGCGCCTCAGAGAAGACGGGAAGGGTGAGCCTGTGGGCTGGGGCCTGTAGGCAGGAGCCTGGGACAGGGTGAGCAGCTGCTGGGGGATCACAAGAAGGGGGCCCAGGAGGAGGGATGTGGGTGCAAACCAGGGGGTTCTCCAGGGACCTGCACGCTTTCTGCCTACAGAAACCTCACTGGCCCGAGCACACTCCCACCCACACGCCAGCAGAACCGGGTGGTTGAGAACATGGACTCTGGAACGGAGCACCCTGCAGTCTGACCCCCCTCCCGACTCTCAGCAGGGGAGCAGGGGCCCAAGGCTGAGTCCGGCTGTAGGGCCCCAGGCAGCATATCCAACCTGCCTGGGCCTCAGCGTGCTCATCTGTGCAATGAAAGAAGAGTCGCGTGCATCCCACAGGGTGGTGGTGAGGCTTGGCTGAGACGCCCGAATAATGCCCACGGCGCCTGGCACACAGTCAGCACCAACATCATCCCTAGTGACCTCACCCCATCGCGTCTCCTTCGTCTGTAAATTAGAGGTTTGGAGGATTAACTCACCTCCCAGAGGAGGTGCTTGTAACTGCACAGTGTTGGTTTCCCGATTCCCCACGAGCCGAGGCTAACGTTACCCAGTCAAGGGAAACTGTCCCGGCCGCAGCTGCCCCAGCAGATGTGGACATTCACGGATGTTCCCGGCTCTGGCTGAGACCCCGGGTCAGGTCAGACCTCAGGGGCCCCTGGAAGAGTGGAGGTGACCTGTGCAAGCATGCAGCTCAGTCCATGCGGACGGCAGCCTGCAGGCAGCAGAGGGAGGGCTGTGGGCCGGTGCCCACCCACCTGAGGGGCCCCTGCCCGGGACTCCCGCCCGGGCCTACCCTGGTGAAGGAGGGACAGCGCTCCCTCCTCCTGCGAGCCAGCTGGCGTGTCCCTGGAGTCGTGCTGGGTCACTGCCGTCACACACCACCCAGGGCCAGTCTCGAGCCCTCCTTGCCCGCTTGGGTAGCAGCCATGAGTCTAAGCTTGCAGCACAGTCTGCACCACCAGGCTGAGGCAGAGCCCAATTCCGGACCTGAGCTTTGGGTGCCAAAGCACCCCTCAGAGCCCCACCATCCCCAGCGGGCAAACCAGCCCCTGGGTGCAAGCCCCCAGGCCCCAGCCAGGTGACTGGGAACCGCCAGGTGACGCCTTGCTCTTGCTGCAGAGTCCTGACCCTGGCCCAGATCTCACACACACACACACACACAGATCCCAGAGCCTGGGGCGTGTGAGGTGCCGGGCCCCAGATCTCACACACACACACACACACACACACACACACACACAGCTCCCACAGCCCGGGGCGTGTGAGGTGCCGGGTGAGCTCCAGGCAGAGGAGAGCGGCCGTGTAGCGCAGACCCTCAGAACCGCTGAGACGGCCTCGCAGGACATCGGCCCCAGTGCCCTGTCAGAGTGGCGGCCCACGGGGACTCGGAGAGTAATCAGAAGGGCCTGAATGTCCTGGACGTCCTGGAGCAAGGTTCCCGGGGAACCAGGTGAATATGCCGCCCGGGCCCAGAGCTCTCAAGCAGGCATGCTGCGGCTGGGTCTTGTTCAGCATGGGGCACCCAGGCGGACTGCGGCTGCACGTGAGTGGCCAGCTCACCACTGTTCCAGAGGGGGAGGCTGCCTGCGACCCGGGCCTCTGTGTGGCCACGGTGTGGCAGGAAAGGGAGGAGAGCTCCAGAGGGTCTCCTTACCAAGGCCTTAAGAGGTCCACTAAGTGCCCCTCTTCCTCCAGGAAGCCTTCCTGGCCCCACTGGCCCACAGTCATCTCTCCTTTGAAAAGCTGTTACCCAGGCCTGGCTTTTCCCATTTGCTGTTTTGTCTGGGGCTAACATTTCAAAATATAATTTAGTAAGTGCTTTACATATATTATGTGACTTTGTGCTCAGAACTCTATGAGTGGTTGTGATTACACCCATTTGACAGATGGGGAAGTGACAGCTTGTAAAGGTCAGATAGTGTGCATGTCCTGCCTTGTCATTCTCTTCCCCATGGGACTGAGCTCCCTCAGATTAGATTATAGAGTCCTCTGTGGCAAACACGACAGCACTTCCCTCTTCTGTGCCCTGAGCCGCTAAGCCCCGAGGTAAACACCAACCACTGAGCCCTAATTAACCCAGCATGCCGCGTCACTCGGTCGTGCCCGATGCTTTGTGACCCTATGGAACCCCCAGGTTCCTCTGTCCGTGGGATTCTCCAGGCAAACACACTGGAGTAGGTTGCCATGCCTTCCTCCAGGGGATCTTCCTGGCCCAGGGAGCAAAGCTGCGTCTTTTACGTCTCCTGCATTGGCAGGTGGGTTCTTTACCACTATCATCACCTGGGATGCCGAGGTGGTCTTAATAAATAAAAATGTGGTCAACCAATGAAAATCAGCCACATGTCAACTGACCATCCGACAAGGATGCCTGTATATATACTGTGTGTGCGTGTGTGCATGCTGTCGCTTCAGTCCTGTCTCTTTGCGACCCCATGGACTGTAGCCCACCAGGCTCCTTTGTCCATGGGGATTCTCCAGGCAAGAATACTGGAGTGGGTTGCCGTGCCCTCTTCCGGGGGATCTTTCCAACGAGGGATTGAATCTGGGTCTCCCTCTTGGGAGGTGGATTCTTTACTGCTGAGTTAGTGGGGAAACCCTGTTTATATGCTGTGAAGTGAAGTCGCTCTTTGCGACCCCTTGCGACCCCATGGGCTGTTTAGTCCATGGAATTCTCCGGGCCAGAACACTGGAGAGGGGAGCCTTTGCCTCCTCCAGGGATCTTCCCAACCCAGGGATCGAACCCAGGTCTCCTGCATTCATTGCAGGCGGATTCTTTACCAGCCGAGCCACCAAGAACGGTCCCTGCTTAAGTTGCAGATGAATTATCAGAAACTTGACTGAACCATTTCTCCGGCAAGGACGGCTGAGGAGCTGCAGTTCTGCGGAAACACCGCATCGCCGGGCTTAGAATGGCCCAGAGCCTGCGGAGGGGCAAGCCCGGCCGCCTTGCCAGGGGCGCGCGGGGTGACGCCCGCCGAGGGCGCGGGTCAGCCGTGCGCGCCAGGAGGCCCCGAGGCTGGGGCAGCGAGCGCCGGGGCTCCGCCCGCGCAGCGCGGCGCGGCCTCACCTTGGGTGGCGTAGGCTTCGGCGGCCATGCGCAGCCGGTAGGGGGGCACGCCCGTCAGCGGCCAGTCCTCCAGGCCCGCCCGGGCGTAGAGGCTGAGCGCGCCTTCATAGTCGCCTTCCACGTAGTGCAGCTTGGCCAGGACCAGACTGCACTCCCGAAGGAATTCTGCCTGGAGGGGAGAGGAGAGAAGAGAAACCGTCCTCAGGTGCACGCCTGACACTCCCGTCGGGCCTGCGGCTCTCCACGCCCGCACCGGCGCGCGAGCCTTCCCGGCCGCGCCGCCCACGGGGCCCCGGGCCGGGAACGGCGCGCCCGGCCCGGCGACTGATGGTCTCCCCGCGCCCGGCCCGGCGACTGATGGTCTCCCCGCGCCCGGCCCGGCGACTGATGGTCTCCCCACCCCCGGGCATACCCCTCCGCCACCATCGGGGACGGAGCACTGACGCCTGCCGCCGCACAGGCGACCCTTGAAAGCGGCGCGTCGCACGGGCTTCAGATACTGGCCAGGGTGGTCAGGCCTCCGAGGCTGAAAGCAGACACGTGCCGCCTAGGGCTGCGAGGGCGGGGGCATAGGCGGTGACTGCTGATGGTTACAGGCTCGTTTCTGGGGTGGTGAAAGTGCTCTAGAATTGATGTAATATTTGCACAGCTCTGTGACTCCTGTGAAAGTGAAGTGAAAGTCAGTCGTGTCCCACTCTTTGTGACCCCATGGACTATACAGTCCATGGAATTCTCCAGACCAGAAGACTGGAGTGGGTATCCTTTCCCTTCTCCAGGGGATCTTCCCAACCCAGGGATCAAACCCAGGTCTCCCGCATTCACTGCAGGCGGATTCTTCACCAGCTGAGCCACAAGGGAAGCCCAAGAATACTGGAGTGGGCAGCCTCTCCCTTCTCCAGCGGATCTTCCCGACCAGGAGGCAAACCAGGGTCACCTGCATTGCAGGTGGATTTTTTTTTTTTTTTTTTTAGTGACTATATTAAAAACCATTAAATTGCATACCTTATTTTTTTTGCAATAGTAGAAGATGCTTATAAGTTTTCACAATCAATACCCAGACAATGAAATAAAAGCATCATTAAAATTGCAAGCCATAATGCAAACATGATTAACCTAACAATGTAAAATAATTACATACAGTTTGAAATGTTAAGTAGAGTGATGTGGTAAGTGGAAGTGCCTACATGCACATGTTTTCAGCTACCCAGCCAGTCTCTGTCTTTTGGTTCGTGCCTTTAATCCATTTATATTTAAGGGAATTATTGATATGTATGATCTTATTACCATTTTCCTAATTTTGGGGGGAGGTTTATGTAGGTCTTTTCCTTTTCTGGTGTCTCCTGCTTAGAGGTTTCTTTAGCATTTGTGGTAAAGCTGGTTTGGTGGTGCTCAATTCTCTTAACTTTTGCTTGTCTCTAAAGCTTCTGATTTCTCCGTCAAATCTGAACAAGGATTCTATGGCATGTAATTATGTTTCAATAAAGCTGCTATAAAACAGGCTCCCCTCAGGCCTGGGCCAAGGATGGAAGGAGTGCATCATGAACAAAACACGCGAGCACCTGTCTCAACAAAGGCAGCTCCATGGACGTCCTGGTGGGTTGAGCCCACAGCACTGGGGCTGTGCCACCGACTGTGGCCCAAACAGCCTGAGGAGAGAGGCTTTCTAAACTGGTGTTAAGAACTGGACTTTCTTTCTTTCCAGGGACAAGCTTTTCTCGCTGAGCCATTCCAGCTGGTTATGGGGACTGAGCGGGTCCCTCCCGGAGGATGCACGTTCGAGCTATCCTCTGATGGGGCTTGTCCTCCTCCCCATCAGAGAGACTGGCTTCTCCGCCCACACGTGTGCCAGCCTCATCCTGGGCCCTTCCCCACCCCCACTTATCCTGGGGAGAGGAGAGGCGACCCAGCCGTCTATGTAAGGAAACAGATCTATCACCCTCTCTTAGGCATCCTCCTTGGAACCCCAGCCACACAAGGCTGAAGTTTTCAGCTGAGGGACGCACACCACGAAGCGGCACTATCCCATAATCTATGACTGGGATGGGGTGGGCGATACACAGGTCACTGGCCAGAGTGTGGTGAAGCCAAGGTGGTCGACTTCCAGGCAGCCCTTGAAAGGGCGCAGGGGCAGCTGGAAAGGACACAGGGCAGACAGGGAGACTGAGGGGAGCGAAGGGGTTTTAAGAGTGGCCCAAGCAAGTGACACCAATGCGCGGCGTCAGAGTTATATTTGGAAACAGAAACAAATCAAAGCAGACTTGAGAAAACAGGAAAAAAAGCTACGAAAGAAAGCATTCACTGCGGGGTTCTCCAGCAGGAGAGAGGGACAGGGCAGCCCTGGGTGTGGTGGAAAGGCTTCCCAGGGGTTCTGCCGTACCCTCTCTCTCTCCCTGCAACTGAGAACCGCAGGCTGGAAAGCAAACTGAAGGGGGAGGAGAGGGGAGTTACTGTCTCCCGGGTCCAGAGCTTCAGCTTCAGGTGATGAAAAGCTTCCGAGGATGGGTGGTGGTGATGAGAATATGAACGCACTTAAAACCACTGAACTGGGACATCCCTGGCGGTCCAGTGGTTAAGACTTTGCTCCCCAGTGCAGGGGGCGCAGGTTTGATCCCTGGTCGGGGAGCTAAGAACCCACATGCCTGGCGGCCAAAAACCAAAACATGAAACAGAAACAGTATTGTAACAAATTCAATAAAGACTTTACAAGTGGTCCACATCAAAAAAAAAAAAAAACCTTTTAGCAAAATGAAAAATGAAGCCAGTGAACTATATGTTAAGAAACGGTTATAATGGTAAATTTCATGTTATTTATATTCTACTGCAAAAAAAAAGTTTTAAAAATTAAACCTGAAAAAAATTTTCCATTAATAATAACAAACTTGAAAGCCAGATGGCAAATATGCAGGAGCTTGAAGAAAATTCCCAGTGATCGAGCGCAGCATGGAGCCGCGGCCTGAAGAGGCTTGCTGGGTGAGTGCGGAGGAGGAGACGGCCACCGCCCAGCCTGGGACGAGCACAACTTCCTCAGCTTGAGCCAGAGGCCAGCCCCTGGCTGCCCGTTCAGACTCTTTGCCCCCACAGTGCCCCCTGCTGTGGTCTCTCCAGCCTTGGTGCACTTGTGTTTCGTGGGCACCTATGAGGTCGCTGGATGGCATCACTGATTCAGTGGACGTGAACGTGGACAAACTCCGGAAACTAGGACAGGACAGGGAGGCCTGGCGTGTTGCAGTCCATGGGGTCGCAGAGTCGGACAAGACTGAGCGACTGAGCAGCAACGTGTCTGCACCCGGCTTTGCCCAGCTCCCAGGCAGGAGACCCTGGACCTTAAGGTCAAGTGGAGGGCAAGTTTCACATGGGCCAGCGGGAGTGGGGCGGTCTGCCCACGCAGAAGCAGGACGACTCGAGCATGTGCACAAGGCTTTCCTGCTCACGCTCAGCCGCATCCGGCTCTTAGCGACCCTTGGACTGTAGCCCGTGGGATTTTCCTGGCATGGTTTCCGCTGTCCCTGGGATTTTCCCATCCAGCATACTGCAGTAGGCTGCCGTTTCCTGCTCCAGGGGAATCTTCCCGACCCAGAGATGGAACCTGCGTTTTCTGTGTCTCCAGCATGGCAGGCAGATTCTTTACCTACTGAGTCATTGGGGAAACCCCGCTTTTGGCAATGGGAGAAAAATTCTATAGGCAGAATCAGGAAAATAGCAAAAACTCACATGTATCTAGAGCTATTCAATTGTGAAAGAATCTGTACACCTGAAACTCAAAATACCTTGAGCTAAGTGGGCTTACAGGAGAGAAATGTGAAGCTCAGAGAGGTTAAACAGCTTCCCAAAATCATATAGCTTATGACTTCACACTGGAAAGTAAACTCAGAAACCTAAGTTGAAATTCAATATGCTTGCTACCACACTGGCTTGTGAGGGATGAAGAGGACCCGGTGAAACAAAAAGTTAATTTTTCCAGACGACATGAGGGGAATTCGAAGTGGGACAGAACCTAGTCAGGGGCCCGGCCTGGAGCAGTGGTCCCCACCCCGCCCGCAGCAGCAGGCGCAACCCCACTGCTGGAAGGACCCCTGAGTGCCCGCACCGATTCCCTCTAACCAGACCCACCAGTCACTGGAACCACCTTCGGGAAGAACAACCGACGTGGAGACACGTGTCCCTAAGTCTGAGGGAAAGTGCAAGAAGAGAGGAGGAAGAAGGGAAGAAGTCAGAGGTGTAAACGCTCACCGCACCGCAGGCTGGGCTGGGGAAGGGGGCCGGGCTGAGGTGAGACGAAAGGCTTCCAACAGGAGAGCCTGGCGAGAGGGCGGGGAGAGGCGACGCAGACGAGACCCAGAAACAGGGCCCGTGAACCCAGGGCAGCCCCTCAAGCACTAGGGCCCTTGGTGGGCAAAGGGGGCTCCCGCCCGGGGCCCCCACAGCTCGGCTGCAGACTTCGGGCGGGGATCGTGCGCTAAGGGGCCCCGGCGTAGCTCCTCCGCTTTCAGTGGGACGAAGCCAGGCTGAGCTCCGGGCCACACCCGACAGCTTTGTCTCAGACCCCTGGGGAGAGCAGAGCCACTCCAGGAGAACGTGGCCTCAGAGGCCGTCCTGGGAGAGAAGCCCCGCGCGGAGTCCCCTCCTGAGAAGGGAAGCGGGGCGGGGCGGCGCCCACACCGCGCGTGGGGCGCCCTCCCCGGCCACAGGCCCCCCGGACTCAGTGTAGCTGGCGTCTCCCCAACTCCTCGCCCCCCAGGCCCCGTACCTTGAGGTTCCCTCGGTCCAGGGCGGCGGTCAGATGCTTGCGGACCTCCGTCAGCTGGGGCCGGGGGCCTCGGGGGCTGGCGCCCTGCCGCAGGGGGTGTTCCTTCAGGTACTGCTCCAGCTTGGCCTCCCCGAGGAGGAGCTCCGCCATGTCATCTACGAGGAACACAGGGAGAGGGTGAATGGGGCGAGGGTGGTCTGCGTGCGGGGGGGTCTCAGGGGCCATCCACAGTTAGTCCTCTTAACTAGGAGAGAAGGTGCCAGAAGATGGCAGCGCAAGCACTCATTCCTCGTCCCATGTTTACTGCGCTAGAAAGACTGGCTGTTGCTCAGTCGCTCAGGCGTGTCTGACTCTTTGTGACCCCATGGACTGCAGCGCCCCAGGCTTCCCTGTCCTTCACCACCTTCCGGAGGTTGCTCAGACTCACATCCATCGAGTCGGTGATGCCATCCAACCGAAAGACAGGTACACGTTAACATGGACAGACCTCAAGATCAGTAGGAAACATAAAGTTCTCTTATGATTTATTCAATATGATCTTCCAAGACACACAGACCCAGTGCTCTGTATTTTCCAAAGACAATGCAGTGAAATCTAGCTCCTTTGTGGTCTATGGCCTTATACGTGGACAGGAGTTGGTAGAATGTCCTGTGTACTCAAGATTCTCAAAAGAAGTTTTTATGAAAATGACCTGAACACATGCAGTCTGTTTCTGCCTAAAAGTCAAAGCTCTACGGACATGATATCTGGGAATGTTTGTATGAAGGTTCTCCTCCAAGAGTGTATTACTTACACTTCTAACTTTGTTAATGTCGCTGTTGGCTTGTTAATTGGAATAAAAACCTCACTGTGAGAGCAGCTCTTTGGAATCCACACATCCAGATTGTTCTGAGAACACCCAGAACAATTCATACCCCAGCCTGAACATGGTCTATTTTTTTCTGTGATGGAACAGAACATAATTGTATTAAAATATAAATGCAGTTTTTAAAGGCCTAGGAAAATATGCCTCAAGCTCAAACCCATGACAGGAGTTCTCCTTCACGGATCACAGCCTAGTTGTGGCAAAAGGGCTTATGTAACTCATGAAACTATGAACCATGCCATACAGGGCTACCCAACATGGACAGGTCATAGTGGAGAGTTCTGAAAAAATGTGGTCCATGGAGGAGGGAATGGCAAACTACTCCAGCATTCCTGCCTCGAGAACCTCATGAACAGTATGAAAAAGCAAAAAGATATGACACCCGGAAGATGAGCCCCCCAGGTCAGAAGGTGTCCAATATGCTCCTGGGGAAGAGTGGAGAAGAAGTCTCAGAAACAATGAAATGGCTTGGCCACAGCAGAAACGATGCACAGCTGTGGATGTGTCTGGTGGTGAAACTTAAGTCCAGTGTAAAGAGCAATACTGCATAGGAACTTGGAATGTTAGGTCCAGGAATCAAGGTAAATTGGACGTGGTCAAGCAGAAGATGACAACAGTGAACGCAGATATCTTAGGAATAAGTGAACTAAAATGGATAGGAATGGGCGAATTTAATTCAGATCACCATTATATCTACTACCTTGGGCAAGAGTCCCTTGGAAGAAATGCAGTAGCCCTTTTAGTCAACAACAAACTCTGAAATGCAGTACTTGGGTGCGATCTCAAAAATGACAGGATGATCTTGGTTTGTTTCCAAGGCACATCATTCAACATCACAGTAATCCAAGTCTAAGGCCCAACCACTAATGCCAAAGAAGCTGAAGTTGATCAGTTCTATGAAGACCTACAAGACCTTCTAGAAATAACACCAAAAAAATGTTCTTTACATCATAGGGAAACGGAATGCAAAAGTAGGAAGTCAAGAGATACCTGGAGCAACAGGCAAGTTTGACCTTCAGAATGAAGAAGGGCAAAGGCTAACAGAGTTTTGTCAAGAGAACTCACTGGTCATAGCAAACACCTTTTTCCAACAACACAAAAGATGACTCTACACATGGACATCACCAAATGGTCAATACTGAAATCAGATTGATTATATTCTTTGCAGCTGAAGATAGAGAAGCTCTGTACAGTCAGCAAAAACAAGACCTGGAACTGACTGTGGCTCAGATTATGAGCTCCTTACTGCAAAATTCAGGCTTAAATTGAAGAATGTAGGAAAACCATTAGGCCATTCAGGTATGACCTAAATCCAATCCCTTATGATTTGTGGAGGTGATGAATAGATTCAAGGGATTAAATCTGATAGACAGAGAGCCTGAAGAACTATGGACAGAGGTTCATAACCTTGTACAAGAGGCAGAGACCAAAACCATTCAAGAAAAAGATATGCAAGAAGGCAAAGTGGTTATCTGAGGAGGCCTTATAAATAGCTAAGAAAAGAAAAGCAAAAGGCAAAGGAAAAAAGGAAAGATACACCCCACTGAATGCAGAGAATAACAAAGAAAGGTAAGAAAGCCTTCTTAGGTGAACAATGCAATGAAATAGAGGAAAACAGTAGAATGTGAAAGACTAAAGATCTCTTCAAGAAAATTAGAAATACCAAGGGAACATTTCATTCAAGGATGGGCTCGATAAAGCACAGAAATGGTAAGGACCTAATACAAGCAGCAGAAATTAAGAAGAGAAGAAGGGGCAAGAGTACACAGAACTATACAAAAACAGTCTTAATGACCCCGATAACCACAATGGTGTGGTCCCTCACCTAGAACCAGACATCCTGGAGTGTGAAGTCAAGTGAGCCTCAGGAAGCATTACAACTAACAAAGTTAGTGGAGGTGATGGAATTTCAGTTTAGTTATCTAAAGTCCTAAAAGATGGTGCTATTAAAGTGCTGCCGCTCAATATGTCAACAAATTTGGAAAACTCAGCAATGGCCGCAGAACTGGAAAAGGTCAGTTTTCATTCCAATCCCAAAGAAAGGCAATGCCAAAGAATTCTCAAACTATTGTACAATTGTGCTCATCTCACACACTAGCAAGGTCATGCTCAAAATCCTTCAATTCAGGCTTTAGCAATATGTGAACCAAGAACTTCCAAATGTACAAGCTAGATTTAGAAAAGGCAGAGGAATCAGAGATCAAATTGCCAACATTTGTTGGATCACAGAGAAAGCAAAGGAATTCCAGAAAAACATTTATTTCTGCTTCATTGACTATGCTAAAACCTTTGACTGTGTGGATCAGAATAAACTGTGGAAAATTCTGAAAGAAATGGGAATACCAGACCACATGACCTGTCTCCTGAGAAACCTGTATTGTGGGTCAAGAAACATCAGTAAGAACCAGACATGGAACAAGTTCCACATTGGAAAGGAGTACGTCAAGGCTGTATATTGTCACCCTGCTTATTTAACTTATATGCAGAGTACATCATGAAAAATGCTGGGCTGGATGAACCACAAGCTGGAATCAAGCCTGCTGGGAGAAATATCAATAACCTCAGTTATGCAGATGACACCACCCTTATGGCAGAAAGCAAGGAGGAACTAAAGAGCCTCTTGATGAAAGTGAAAGAGGAGAGTGAAAAAGTTGGCTTAAAGCTCAACATTCAGAAAACTAAGATAATGGCATCCAGTCCCATCACTTCAAGGCAAATAGATGGGGAAAAGGTGGAAGCAGTGAAAGACTTTACTTTTTGGGCTCCAAAATCACTGCAGATGGTAACTGCAGCCATGAAATTAAAAGACACTCGCTTCTTAGAAGGAAAGCTATGACAAATCTAGACAGTGTATTAAAAAGCAGAGACATTACTTTGCCAACAAAGGTCCGTCTAGTCAAGGCCATGGTTTTTCCAGTAGTCATGTATGGATGTGAGAGTTGGACTATAAAGAAAGCTGAGTGCTGAAGAATTGATGCTTTTGAACTGTGGTGTTGGAGAAGACTCTTGAGGGTCCCTTGGACTGCAAGGAGATCCAACCAGTCCATCCTAAAGGAAATCGGTCCTGAATATTAGTTGGAAGGACTGATGCTGAAGCTGAAGCTCCAGTACTTTGACCCCTTGATGCGAAGAGTTGACTCATTGGAAAAGACCCTGATGCTGGGAGAGACTGAAGGTAAAAGAAGAAGAGGGCAGGAAAGGATGAGATGGTTGGAATGGCATCACCGACTCAATGGACATGAATCTAAGCACACCCAGGGACAGTGAAGGACCGGGGAGCCTGGTAGGTACAGTCCACGGGGTGGCAAAGAGTTGTCACCAGTTAGCAACTGAACAACAACAAAAATTAACCAAAATATAGACACATATATATCGCAGAGGACCCGCTGAGATTTGGAGAATTAGGTCTACGAGCTGTAACGAGAGCCTTTCCAAGTCCTCTGGTCAGCGACCGAAGCTGCTGAATTGCTAGTTCTCAGCAGCGCCTCTGTCTTGCACTGGGGAGCTGATTGCAGAGAGGAGACTGGGGGCCTGCGAGGAGCCAGGGCTGAGGAACACGGTATTATCCAGGCGTCTGAGGAGAGAAAGCGATTGCCTGGCACCAGCCAGGCCCTGGGGCTGCGACAGGGCCAGGACCGTGAGGCCGTGTGCACACAGGGCCCGGGCGCAGAGCGGGGCCGGGGCAGAGAGCGGGCCCGGGGCGCAGAGCGGGGCCAGGGCGCAGAGCGGGGCCAGGGCGCAGAGCGGGACCGGGGCAGAGAGCGGGCCCGGGGCGCAGAGCGGGGCCAGGGCGCAGAGCGGGGCCCGGGCGCAGAGCGGGGCCGGGGCAGAGAGCGGGGCCGGGGCAGAGAGCGGGGCCCAGGCAGAGAGCGGGGCCGGGGCAGAGCGGGCCCGGGCGCAGAGCGGGGCCGGGGCAGAGAGCGGGGCCGGGGCAGAGAGTGGGCCCGGGGCGCAGAGCGGGGCCAGGGCGCAGAGCGGGACCGGGGCAGAGAGCGGGGCCAGGGCGCAGAGCGGGGCCAGGGCGCAGAGCGGGACCGGGGCAGAGAGCGGGCCCGGGGCGCAGAGCGGGGCCAGGGCGCAGAGCGGGGCCCGGGCGCAGAGCGGGGCCGGGGCAGAGAGCGGGGCCGGGGCAGAGAGTGGGGCCAGGGCAGAGAGTGGGCCCGGGGCGCAGAGCGGGGCCAGGGCGCAGAGCGGGACCGGGGCAGAGAGCGGGGCCAGGGCGCAGAGCGGGGCCAGGGCGCAGAGCGGGACCGGGGCAGAGAGCGGGCCCGGGGCGCAGAGCGGG